GTGTGTGTGTGTGTGTGTGTGTGTGTGTGTGTGTGTGTGTGTGTGTGTGTGTTGGAGAGAATGCTAAAAGCACAGTTTTGTTATTCATTTTGTTTCGTAGATCTTATGTAAGTCCTCTGTCTTTTACTGGTTTTGTAGACATAGATGAATGTGCTCTGGCTGCAGTGACCAGTCTGCAGGCCTGTCAGGCTGGGGAGGACTGCATAAACACCTCTGGCTCCTTTACCTGCTCATGCCCTGTTGGATATGTGAAGGCTTTAACTGGAAAAGGCTGTTTAGATAAGATCAGTATGCCATGACGTAAATAATGTTCATACAAAAATCTAGATGTTTTTTTATCCCGTGTTTTCTGTTCATTATACTCATGGAGATGTGGCGCAGCATTGTTCATACCGTAAACATGTTTATTGACTTGGCTTACTAAAAAAACTTAAGTTCTTGAACAGGACCGTTCAGTCTACCGCTCACAGTTTTTTGACATCTGTCCAGATGTGGATGAGTGCCGCTTCAAGGAGCAGTGTCGCCGTGAACTGAGGGAAGTGTGTGTGAACACTCCTGGGAGCTTTGTGTGCCAGTGCCAGCTGGGCTTCAGAGCAGAGTCCCCTGCCTGTGTGGGTAAGTCTTTAGTTTTTGACGCTGTAGGAAATCCTTAACAGCTTCTGCAAAAAGTTTAAAAAAATGTTTTGGCAGGAATGCATGCATTCAATTGTCTTGCTCAACTTCTTTCATCCATATCGCATTTTTTATTTTGTGCTGCAAGAATCTTTTTTCCAAATCTCCTATATATTTTTCATCCACACTTCGTAGGTCKTGTGTGTGCAGACTACACCGGGATGTGGTTTTAATGTGTAGTGCTTAAGCTAACAGTTTCATTATTGTAAAAGCTTATTACATGTGACACTTTAGATCAGGGCTGTCAAACTCATTTTCAGCGAGGGCCACATGAGCATTACGGTGACCRGCACAGGAGCAGTTGTAATTAACTTTGATATTTTGTGTTTGACTTTGACTAAACATAAAACTTCATGTTCCTCATCTCATTGCTATGGCTGAGCACCGCTAACAGACAATAACTGAGCTCCACGTGGTTTTTCCTGCATAGAAACAGCGATTTAACCCATCCTCTTATAAACACTGAAAAGTACTACAGGCACGACTGACTAAATATGGAATGAATAATACAGAAATAATAATAAAAGTAAAAGGAGGAGAGTTTTACTCACTGTTGGGTTGTGGTGAGCAGCTGCCATCTTGAATTCTGAACTGGGCTWGTCAGAGCTCTTTCACTTTCTGACAGGGAATTCCCACTGAAGGCGGCATTCCAATGTCAATATCAGTTTATTTGTATTGCACATAAAAACAACAAACGTTGACCAAAGTGCTTCACAATTCAACTAAATGAATAAAACAACAGAGCAACACATCAATGTAAACAATAAGATCAATTTAAAATAGAGAAAAACATTAAAAACATTATGTTTAAAAGAATCTCAAACTCTACCAGAATGAAAGGCCAGGGAGTAAAAATGACTTTTAAGTAGAGATTTAAAAGTCTCAATAGTCTCTGCACACCGAATGCTAAGAGGTAAACCATTACAAAAGTTTGGTGCAGAAACTGCAAAGGCCCGATCACCTCTAAACTTTAGCCTGGATCTAGGTACATCTAAGAGGCACTGGTTGGATGACRGAAGTGCTCTAAGTGAAGTGTGGATGTTAATGAGATCACACAGGTAGGATGGGGCCAGAKCTTTTAAAGCTTTAAAAGTGAGCAATAATATCTTAAAATTTATGCTAAACTGAACAGGAAGCCAATGGAGAGAAGCCAGAACCTGGGATATGTGTTCGTATTTTTTAGTTCCTGTTAAAAGACGAGCTGCTGCGTTTTGGACAACTTGTAATCGATGCAGAGATTTATCTAAATCAACATACAAAGAATTACAATAATCCAAACGAGTTGTAATGAGTTCCATTCCAGTTTAAATATATGATTTTAAGGAGGAAATTCCTACTTCTCACTAGAACTGGGCTGCAGCAAAAGCCGCCTGTAAAAATGCAGTGAAATGGAGATTTGCACGACTAATTTTGCTGCGGGCTACTTTTGAATCCTGGGCACCTCCACTTCGTGGTGAGATGTRGTCATTTCACGAATAAAATAGTCAACATGCATTATGGGAGAGCAGCAAACGCCTATTTTAAGACAATAACATATTTTTGCGGGCCACATAAAATGCTACATCGGGCCACCTTTGGCCTGCGGGCCTTGAGTTTGATYCATGTGCTTCAGGTGTTTCAACATCTTAAGGGAACTTACTGTATTTTATGTTATATCCACAATTGTTTTTTAAAGGACAGCCTAGAATAACACAATATGATAAATGTCAAACCAYTTGTGCCTAATTAGGTCACTAACTGGGTTTTGGCTTAATAAATAATAGCCTTGTTTACATGAATATTATAATTATTATAATAGGATTTGTCAGCTGTAAATGAAAGACAAAGTTATTGGAATGTACATCACTCTCTTGCTCTGCTACAGATGTGGATGAATGTTCGGAAAGTCCTGAGTTGTGCGATGGTCAGAGTGTGTGTGAGAACACCCTTGGCAGCTACGAGTGTGTCTGTCGACCCGGTTACCAGGGCAACGGCACACACTGCAAAGGTAAGCGATGACGTCTCTCTGCGGGAAAAACTCTGTTTGCCATCGCCGGGGTCAGCGTGTTTTAATGCTCGCCATTAAGCCTTCCGTTAAAATGATCCCGAGTGGCAGAATGTTTACGAAACAGCTTTACAGCATTCACTGTCTGTTGTTTTTAGACGAGAACGAGTGTGCTTCGGGCAGCCACAGGTGTGACACAAACGCTCGGTGTGGCAACACCGTCGGCTCGTACTTCTGCCAGTGTTACCAGGGCTTTGTCGGAGACGGGCACGCTTGTTTCGGTCGGTAATGGCCGTTACGTGAATGTTTTCCTTCAGGCACACATTTCGCTCGACTCGCAAAAAGAGGTTCCGAAGCACAGCAGCTTCTTCAAACTTGTCTCTGCTTCCAGACGTCGACGAGTGCCACGTTAACAATGGTTACTGTGAACACACCTGCACAAACGAGCCAGGAGGGTACAGGTGCCAGTGCGCCTCCGGGTACCAGCTGGACCTGGGTGAACACAACTGCACAGGTACAGCAAGGGGCCGGATGGTTAGCATTGAATTTAGACAAAACAAGTGTTTAGATATTTAGTAACAGAAAGACAAAAAGGAAAAATCTGTGTTGGAATTCAGAGAGTAAGTGAAATTATATTATACAATATTTATTCATTTAATTTAAAAACAAACAAATTCACATAGAAAAAAATACATATCAAATAAAAATGAAAGGTAGCAGAAAGAAAAAAAATCTTATAATATCTGTCCCTATTTAAAAATATATATATTAACTATAAAAATAATAGTTTCAAACAATAACAATGTTCAAACAATAACAAAACAAAAATTTCTGCTCCTAAACAGCAGCTCTTACAAACACAAATATAGAATTTCATATTTTTTAACAGATATTTTTTTATATAATTCTTATAAAACAAATTAATTGAGCCAGCATTTTTTACAATCACTATCCCGGGTATTCCATAATCGTATTCCTTGGACCGAAGTACATCTGTCCTTTAAATTTATTCAAATTTTAGGTTTTACAAACATGTCTAATCCCTTCAGATTGTAACCACTTTCCCTCATAACAAAATGTGACTGGATGTTCAAAGGTAATACATTTTTATGAGCCTTACACATGACCTGCAAAATATTATAATCAACCAACTGGTAAAACTTTAATAACTTCAACTGATGAAATAATGTATTTGATGGGTGACAGTAGTGTTTTCTAGTGATAAATCTTATAGCTCTCTTCTTCAAAATTACATTTATGGACATCATTAATATTGAGGAGAAGTTGACATGAAGGTCTCATAMAAATTACATAAAAGTAAAAATAGCAAAAACTACTGCATTGTTGAATAAAATGAAAGAGTTATTTAATAATAAAGATTATGCAATGCTTATTATTATATTATAATTGATCCACATTTTATATATTGTAATGAAGTTCTTAGGAAAAGCATGTAAAACAATTACAAATCATTTTTTTTACACAAAAAGAGCATGAATTACAAAATGTTATCATCCAACAAATTAGTTCATCGGTTCATGCAAAGTCGTATTGTTATGATCTGTGTCTGTGTTAATGTTTTATTTTGGTTCTATTCTGGTTTTCTGTCTTGTTTTTCTCTGTTTACCTCCTCCTGCCTGTCTTTGCTCCAGCCCTCTTACCTGCTCCTCATGTTTCTTTCCCAGGTGTTTCTTTTTTTCTCTCAATGGTTGGCCTTTATATTCTGTGTCCTGTCTTCAGTGTCTGTCTGATTATTGTGCTGTCTCCTCAGCATGTGTGGTGTCGTTCATGTTCCTCAAGTTTTGTATCAAGCCAAGCTGCCCTGTCAGCATCTTTTGTTTAATAAATCTTTATTTTTTTGCCTTTATGAAGCTACCTGGGCTCATTCTTGCCTGAAACAACGRAACACATATGGAATAATCTTGAAACGTTCAGAACAATTTATGTTTAAATAGGTGATAAAAGCTCTTTAATAGAAAATGTGTAATTTGCTCAATTTGTTTTAGTTGAACCAGTTTGGTTACTTAAATTCAGTAATTGTTAGTGTGTGTAAAAGTGCTTTTACTTTCCCAGTTATTGAGAGAAGTTTTATGCCTTTTACTTAAGTATTTTTATATCAGTGAAATTCATTTTTACCAAAGTCATTTTCTGTTTATACT